GTAGAGGAGTAATGTGGAGGGTAGAAAAAGTAAGGAGTTCCTGTATGTTGTGATAATCTCATGAGAGCGTCCTAAAACTCTCCACGGGATCCGACTCCTCGAGCATCACCGCCGCCTGGAAGCAGTCGGCGGCGTCGGAAATCCTCCCGTCGAGCTTGTGCACCTTCCCCAGGTTGAGCCACGCCATCCGGTTCGTCGGCTCGACCCTCAGGGCGTCCGAGAGGAAGGCCCTCGCCGCCGGGAGGTACTTGCCCCCCTGCTTGGAGAGCAGAGCCCCGATGGCCACCTTGGACGACACGTGATCCAGCTCCGTCGCCGAGGCGTTCACGTAGGCCGCCATCGCCTCCTTGCTCTCCTTGCGCACCTCGTGCATGTAACCTGCATTGCATTGCATCGACTCGTACATCGATCGGGGTGAAATTTTGTAAGGGTTTGGTGACCTGAGCTTTCGGCTCACCTTCGGCTTCGAGTGTCGCGGCGGAGTACGATTTCAGGGCTGTGGCTTTCTGCAAACATACCTCGGCGTCCCTGGTGTGTGAGAGGCCGGAGTACAGATTTGCAAGACCTTGCCAGATTTCGAACTCGGTTACTCCACCAGCCTCTCCCTGAAGCATCGGTATGTGAACTAATGGAGAAAGTGCCAAGAGAAAAATAGTATACGGATGGTACTTTTTTTTTGCTGCATTTGATTAAGAAAACAAACCTCCACTTTTTTAGGCGAATTCTTCTGGGCCTGAACAAGAGCAAGGAGGACCCGGTATGCCTCCACCGCCTCCATGGGCGACGATTGAGCGACCTTCAGCTTAGCCTTTATCCTGAGCAGTGACCCTTGATCCCACTTTGCGGTCTCGTCTAACGCGGCATTGGTCGCCACTTCTGCTTCGGAGTATCTTTGCTGTGCGGAGAGGACTAGGGCTAGAAACCTCCAACCTTTCGAGACCGCTCCACCGGTCGCGTCGACAAACTCTTTGGCACATCTCAGCGCGGCGTTCATGTTCCGCTGCTCAGCGTATTGAACTCCCATGTCGAATATTAGGTTTGGGTTGTAGCGGTCAAGAGACATCGACTCCGTAAGGGACTTCATAGTTTCTGCGTGCAACATAGCTCTTTGGTGATCGGATGAAACAATCTTGGCCTTCTTACTCAGGCAACTCCCCAAGAAATGGAGGCCAGTGCTCTTCAGATGAACATCTAATGATTCCGTGTTTGCAATCGCTCTTCTTGCGTACTCGACACCCTCGGAGGCAAGACGGCAGTCCTCGCTACATATCTTGGCGGCTAACAGCAATGCCATTGTATCTTTTGGGTTCTCATGCTTATTCAAGGACTTCCTCAGGAAATTTAGAGCGACTTCTTTCTGAGCAACACCATAGTAGCAAAATGCTAGTGTGTTCCATCTCTCCGTCCGAGGATATATCCCAGGTAGAACCTCCTCCAGATGATCTGCAATAAGAGAAGGCCGGCTGCAAATCGACAATGCGTAGGTCAAGTGTTCCATCACCGAGGGATCCCAGTGGGTCTTTCCCTGATAAAACTTCTTCAATACTGTTGTGAGGAGTAGAATGGCTTCCTCAATATTTGTCTTGGGAACAAAAGTGCCTTCAGCTGGTGAACCAGAGCTGGGCGGACTCCACTCCACACAACCATACAACAAGAAAGCAGCAAATCTCTTTTGAATCCTTGCAATGCATTCCTCGTCGAGGTTCCACGGGCTGAGAAGAGCGCGTCTGTACGAAGCAAATGTTTCCTGAAGAGAGCCAGCTTTTTTCCAGGCCTCTGGGAGAAGTTCCACAGATTTATTGATAGTTTCTTGTAGCTTCTGTTCGATGTCAGGAGTGCCATTCTTGAACATACTTTCAACAGAATCGATGACGCTTTTGCATTGTTTAGCGGCCTCTGCATGTTCAACAGGTATTTCAGTAATTTGTTACAAGTCAAAGAATAAGCTAAAAAAAAGAACAACTTCCAAATGATAATTTATTTTTGTAAAACACAATTAAAGCAATTTGTTTTAAACTTAAACAACGGTATAAAGCAATTTTGTTACCTATTGATTTTCCTAGCTTCTGAAGGGACAATGCTTTCAAGTAAATGGCTTCGAGAACAAGAGTAGCTTCTGTTGTTTTCTTCGAGGATGATGGCTGGAAGCGCTCAATGGCAGCTTGAAGGTCTATTCCATCAAACACACAAAGTGCATCTTCTACATTGCCTTTCTGAAATTCCAGCCTTCCTAAGAGAGCTCTCGCTTCCTGTTACCGATAGATGTATAAACGAACTTGGTGTAATAAACCCGCAAAAAAATAACTTGGTGTAATAAACCCGAGAAAGCATGACGGTTGGAATTCTCCATGTATTAAGCTAAGTTTGAACTTCATTTTTGGAAATTAATAATTGCAATGGAGATCAATAGCATGGTTCATGGGAATAGAAATATGATCAGTTCTTCATAATCTGGACAAAGAAAATGTCCCTTTCTCCGTATGATTACACATCATTCAGTAAAATCTTGCTACCTATACTGGCATTAAGATTATTCACAATTCACTCACCCAATAAAAAGCATTTTGATTGACACCATCGTGTTATAATTCACTCACCCAAATATATAAAGAACAAAAAAAGGTGCATGTCTTATAAACTTGCCGAATAATTCGCAATTGGATAAACCAATCAATGAAATAGAACCAGAACTGAAATGGAATCACAATTCAGCATTTGACATCCCCAAGAAAGGAACACATTTCCCACACAAAGCCTCTCAAACAATATTTTTTGAAAAAAACGCACGACCAACGTTGGCATCTTTACATTTTCGGTTTATGTGAGAACAATCAAAGTCATCGCTTAATTGAATTGACACCATCATCGCCGGCAATACGAAATTTGACATAACATTGGCGGCACTGACCAAACACTTCAAACATGGCAATTTCTTGCAAACCAAGTTCACATCATAGCAGCATTATATAGGACAAGCACCGTACTACGTATCAAACAAACATTCATAAAAGAGTTTCAGATATTTCGGACCTCGTAGTTGAGGGAGACCGCCTCGCCGGAGCTGGCCGGCTTTGCCTCTGCCGCTGCCGCCGGCTCCTCCTTAGCAGGGGGAGACGAATGGGCGGCCGCGCTCGTCGCCGCCGCCGCCGCCTCAGGAGGGGCGACCTCGCCGCCGTCCTCCGGCTCCGCCATGCCGCTGCAGCAGAGGGATCGCACCGACGGGCACCCGATCTCGTCGAGCTGGGAGGTGCTCGGTTTCGTCGTCGATGGAGAGGAGCGGAGGCGGCAACTTCTTCCACGGTTCGCATGCGTACCCTTTTCCACTAATTTTTCTGTCTTCTATTTTTACTCTTTTGCGACTACTCTCTCTACTGCTTGTTGCCACGTGGAAAGTTCATCAGGAATACCGATAGAAATTTAAGGGAGTCCTTACAATTTTTTCCAGAAAATTCGAGCTAATGATAAATTTTTTTCTAAGACAAGCTAAAAATAGATTGTCTAGCTCCACCAATACAAATGCATGCATGGATGATCTTGAACGGCCACATATGTTGACCAAGATGTGATCGTAACCTATGCTTTGTCCTTGGCTGCAAAGAGAAACAACAGGGTGTATTTTTTCCACTCAAAAGAATTTTTGCTCAAGAGCAAAGCAAAAGGTGCTTTATTTTTCTTTTTTGCTGGTGAACATTGATAATAGATTTGAATCATTTTTCGCAAAATTGAAACAACAAGGTGTTTTGTTTTTTCTGGTGAACATTGATAATAGATCAGAATCATTTGGCTTGCCCACAAAGAACGCCTCTTCACCATCGAATGACCACTACCGTTGTTCCCCTACTGTAGCCGGCTTGACCATACGATGACAGTCGGGAAGTCTTCATGCATGTGCCCGTAAGGACTAGTGCCCTAGAGTCGTAGTCGTCACCGTTGAACCCTTCAATAGATCTGAAGCACCTGACAACAAATCTCGTCACACGACGAGAAACACTAAACTCATCGTAGCAAGGAGACGACAGAAATCTACGTCGGAGGTCCTTCAATTACGTTCAGATGAACGAACTTGAGGAGAATCGGAGACCGAAACACAAACTCGAGAAAAAGCGCTGCCATCCATCTGAGCGCCACACCTAAGAAGACTAAAAAAACCTAACCTAAACTATTAACCAGACCGAAAGCACCGGGATCCCTAACCCCGCCACCAGTCGTCGGAGCGGCAGGTAGAGGGGAGGCGAATCCACGGTCTCATTGATGAAGCCTGGAGGGGAGATTTACCATAGCCACCAAGGGATAGGGGAGTTCATATCACGGAAACCACACAATATTAATATGTCTTGGTGGTAAAAGGAATTGTTGCATCCTACATCTTTGGAAATTGAAATGGAGAGGGTCTAACTATTGTAACTTTCATGAAATATGAAAGTTAATGATGCATGTCTTGATTTTCAGCGCAAAATAAAATGTAACATGTGGTGCTTGAGTATAGCACATATCCGAGTCCTAGAGTTTCAACCTGCCAACTACGAAACAAATTGGACTAAAAACTCACATAACCTTTTATGTTACAAAAAAATGCATTTATGTGCCTTAAGAAAAAAACATAAAGTTGATATTCTGATGAGATTTTGAATGTTTGATTTGATTTTATTGGATTGCAGAGGGTGTTGGCATCCAGCAGAAGAACCCTGGCTCTTTTCCAGATTTCCGCTCTGGTCGACTTCCTCATCCAAAAAAGTGGAAACTGCAAAGTTTTCATGGCAGCGGAAGTATTTAAAAAATAAAATCAAAGAGGGCTCAAGAAAGTGCAAAATGCAAATTCTTTTGGGCAGCAGAAGGATTTTAAAAATAAAATCAAAGGAAAAAATGGAGATCCCTTAGCGGGCCTGGCCTGGCACCGGCCCGGTCCGGCGGGAAGCCGAGCCACCAATACTCTCACTCGCGCACCCGTTGGTGGCAGCCGCCGGCCCCCGTCGCCTCCTTCCCCTGAACCCTACTCCACCATGGCCGCCGCCCGCGCCGCCCTCCTCCGCCGCCACGGCCTCGGCGCCGCCGCCACCAACCCCGTCCTCTTCTCCGGCCACGGCCTCCGCTACCGCAAGCTCGAGGTCATCCTCACCACGGTAAGCCACCCCCCCTGCCCCCCTCCCCCCGCGACGCTCCGCTCGGTCCTCCACCTCTGCAGGATGCATCCCGCGATCTCGCTAGCCGCTTGCGTTTCCGGTCAGTTCGAGCGGGGTGCTTTCGATCCGGTGAGGCCGGTGCCGCCTCAGCGACAGTTTGACCGATAAATCTCCAGCATTTCTGAAACTTTTTAAGCTAGCAGTAGTATTTTTGACCGATAAAGCTTCAGTTTTGGCCTTTCATTTCAACAATGTCCCTAGAGATTTTAGATTGTGCGGGGAAGTGGAACTAACCTTTGACATCACCCATCGCTTGTTCACCTCAGACGATCGACAAGCTGGGGAAGGCGGGGGAGACGGTGAAGGTGGCGCCGGGGCACTTCCGCAACTACCTCATGCCCAAGATGCTCGCCGTCCCCAACATCGACAAGTTCGCCATACTCATGCGCGAGCAGAGCAAGGTTAGCTTCCCCCTTCTTTTCCCCGATAGAAATAAACATGCCGCGATGGCCGTGCAGTTTGGAATGCTCCGTCGCGGCTCACAAGCATTTGCTTACTAACTACTAGCTTACTCTGCTGGCTTTTGAGGCTCTGCTTTCCAGAGTTCGTTTATCAGTTCTTCATCTGCGTATTGAATGAATTTTACGAGCTCTCCAATACTTGTTGCATCTTAGTAGCTCTTTGGTAGAATAGGCTTATATACAACTCTATGCTACTTGTGTTCAGTGAGCAAGTTGGTGCTGAAGTTATTTTGGTTCATTCTAGTTCATCTCCACTGAAGTATTTGCTTCTTGTAAAGTTCTGTTACCGTAAGAATATTTACATTGTAAACTATTACTGCTTTGCTGGCTTACAAGTCTCTCATTTGTTTGATCAGCTTTACAAACGCGAAGTGGAGGTGGTTGTCAAAGAAGTCTCAAAGGAGGAGGATGATGCTCGGGTATGTCGTGCACCGAGTGGTTCTTCCTTTTTCGTGAACTGCAGTGTAGATGAGAGTTCTTAGTACACAACTAACTGACCTATCCTGTTCCTTTTCTGAAACCCTGTTTGCCATTCAACAGAACTTTTGCCTACAGCTGTCTTTGGTTGATTTGTGCACAATTTCTGTCTAACTGACCTCTCCTATTCATCCTCTGAAACTCAGTTTGCTATTTAACACCATATCAGTCCAGAGCCGTCTTTGGTGGATTTGTTTTGGTTAACGCACTTCGAGTCCACTCTAAACATCTGGTGCTGAAAATAGTGAATATGTTGCCTTGGAAAAGTCTTCTTGTACCTCTTGGCTTCTGCTCCCTCTGTTCCTAAATGTTTGTGTTTCTAGAGATTTCAAATGGACTGCCACATATGGATGTATATAGACATATTTTAGAGTGTAGATTCACTCATTTTGCTCTGTATGTAGGCACTTGTTGAAATTTCTAGAAAGACAAATATTTAGGGACGGAGGAAGTAGATATTATGTTTAGAATGTAGGGCCTCTTAAGTTCATTTTTGTCACTGTGGCCAGCTACTCAACACTGTTCCAATACTGTTTTTCAGATACACAAGTATAGTAGCTGTCCTCTCAACTGTATCGTCCAGCTCATCCATTTCATACTGTACATAGAAAAGATCCTTTTGATGCTTACTTAAAACAACATTTTTTGTAACTGAATCCTGACATTGAAGTTCTTGTTTTCTCAGTTCGGTTAAATACAGATCTTTTATGTGTTTTCCCAGTCACCGGCCTCTTAAGTTCATTTCGTTTTAAAATGTTACTCATTTACTTCTCAACTCAACCATTTGAACAGCAAGCGGAAGAGAAACTGAAGCAGTGTCAAGCAGCAGCAAAACGGCTCGATAATGCTCTCTTGGTTAGTATGGTTCCACCAAATTTTGGAGTCCTGGTGCAGCATACTTTTGTTGATGTTCCAGATGGATAATCTTGTCCACTATTAGCAAGTGCTGATCAAAATATTTATGTTTCATAGGTGTTCAGACGGTTCATCTCCGAAGGGATCGAGTTGCGCTCTCCTGTAACGAAGGATGAAATTGTTTCTGAGGTTCTGCTCCAGCGCTGTCATCCGCTATTTATTCAAAAACATTAATCTGTAGGTAGTAACATCAAACTTTACCAACAGGTGGCGAGGCAACTCAACGTCAACATTTACCCAGACAATTTACACCTGGTGTCACCATTGTCATCCCTCGGAGAATTTGAGGTGCCACTTCGCTTACCGAGGGATATACCACGCCCAGAAGGCAAGCTACAATGGACTCTCAAGGTCAAGATCAGGAGACCCTAAGCACTTTCGGTGGGCGATCTTTGCTCTCCTTCCAAGGTGCTGAATGGTACCAAAAGGCCATTTCAGCCTTCGGATGAAGAGACACGCTGAAATAGACCTTCAAACTCAACCTTTTCCCTTTACAATTTGCTTGGGCCATCGTCTCGGGCGGGGCGATATGATCGGGCCTTTTGTTCCTACAAAAAAACGTTGAGAAATAGTGAATAATTTGCCTGGAGTAGGGGGCCTAGTATTGTTGTTGCTGTTTGACTTTATCATATTCTTGACTTGTTAGTGTGCCCAATCCTGGTGTGAAAGGGGGGAGATGGATATAAAGAAAGAAAGGTTGTGTGTGCAAGGCATCCTTGAAAAGGAGAGGCAGGGAGTGAAAGCTTCCTCAGAAATGCTCATTTGGCGTCGTCATCATCATATGAAAAAATGGCCGTCTCCATCGACGTTTTAGTCGGCTTATATTGCTCTACGTGTCGTGTGACGGCCTTTTGCTTTGATGTGGAAATGCTCTTTAATTCGCGCACGCATATTTTGTGCTTCCTTATCTCCCCCATTTGACTGAATGGTTATCAGTTGATCCATGGACCCCGGGCAATCATTGTCTTGGTCCTATTTTAAGATCTGAGCTGAATTACATTGACACTGACTTGTCAGTGGAGACCCATTGATCTCTGCGATCTCTGCTTAATCTTGTTTCCCATTTTTTGCCAGGCATTACTTTGAAAAAATTATTGCGGTAATTACGCGTCGACAAGGGCTATCTTTGCATCCAAAGTGCTAATACAAAATGTTGAAAGAGAAGGGCACTGGTGCAAAAAATAAGAGTGAAAATCAGCACTTTGGCAGTCTGATGAACTTTCATGTGGAGCTGGGGTGCCCAGATCCTCACTTTGCTTGAGCACTGCAAAATACCTTTCCTATGCAGCAAGAGAAAGCTGTAAAGCAGGTGATCTCACCTGCAAGGCATCAGGGTTGAGAAGCAACAGAGATGCCTTCTTTTGGGGAGGAAACAGCAGCCCAATTAGCAGTAGTGCTCCATTGTTAAGGTGCTGCTCAAGCTTCTTATATGGATGAGATGGTGTGATTTGTGGTCCTAGGAGATTTTAGTTTGGGGGTCATAATCTCCAACCTCTTCACAAAATAATATCAGGTTACATCTATCTATCAGCAAAAGTCAAACAAAAAGGATGGTCCATGATGTGATCTCCTCTTTTCTTTCCCCCTCCAACTCCTGTCTGATTGATCCACTCTATGGATCAGTTGAGTTTGGAAGAATGATTGATTTTTTTTTCAGACATGTCACATTCCAAAAAAACTAAAATAAATGGAAAACATAAGCTTGAGGTCACCATTGCAAATAACAAACATGTGCAATTCAGCTGCATCATGTGATTAAGCTAACCTAATGCTGGTATGTGGAGCCAAACAAGGAGAGAAATAAGAAAGTTCACCTAATGTATAGCCAGAGATATACAAATCAACCTGGCTGATAGGGTGTGGAGGGGGCCAAGTGAAATATAAGAAACTGAGGTGTACATGTGATGAGGGGCAAGCCCCATGTGACACCCATATGATTCATGCCCTAAGCACAATATACTACTGCTGCTGCTGCTGCATCATATCATAGGAAATAATTGCCACTGGTGCATTGGAGTGGACAAGAGATGACAGGCTGCTGAGGAGCTGCTTGGCTATGATAGAGCCAAATTCAAGCTAGGTTAAAAAAATATCTCTCATGCCTTCCATCCAAGGCAGAACAAGAATGACATCTCAGGCCTCAGCTGTGTAGCCATATGTGGTAGACCATTAGTGGTGGTACTATGGTGAATGGAAGCTGAAAGTGAGAGATGAGGACAGCCAGCAAGACAAATCAAAGTGTCACAAGAAAGGCTTCAGCTTGCAATGATCTTCAGGAAGGCTCCAAGGAAAACCTCAACTTCATATAGAAACTGCTCAAAGGTGAACTTGCGCTTCATTTGCGCAGCCGAATGCAAGAGGACGGGGCATATTATCATGATACCGAAAGGTAATAGCGACGACTCCTGAAAGGATTTCATACAGAGGCTGCTGGCTGGGACAGGCGAAATCAGCTTCGGACTTCCGCTGAAATCTAGGCTTTGCTTGAGAAATTAAATTTGTAATATTGGCTCATAATCCATTGGTAGCAACTGCAAATCGACGTACCAACCGCAACTCTGAAAGCAAAACATATAGATGAATTGAGTGACAGCAACATTTCATATGCCATTTGAAAAAACAAACATGTTACTAACTATAAGCATGTACCTGTTTCCAGAATGTTCCTTAATTGGTTAACGAAACAGAGCAAAGCAAGATTAGGGCAATGCACATCATCATCGAAGGCCGATGACGACGCCCCAACCGAAACTTTCCCTTGTTTAACAGTAGGTATGATGACGAGGAGGAGGATACAGCATACATGTTACCCTAAATTTCAGTATTTGGCGCGCTACAGTTGCATTTTCCATGCCATCCCAACAACCCCACACTATTCAAATTGTGGCAATGTGTAGTAAATTGCAATTTCCAAGCTGAGGAAAAGCATACTTACATGATAATTCATGGGAGGAAAGAAAACAAGTGTGCAGTATGCAAATCCTGATGTGTGAAAGGTACTGGTACAATGGACCTGACTTGTAAATAAAGGCACATCACATTCATATCTACAGTTCATCTTTGATGTCCTACTCCAAAGAAAATACAGAGGGGACAAAGAAAAATCTTATAGAATTAGAGTTGTCACATCAATCAGCATAAAACCTTAGTTGCAGGCTGATTGATGCATACACATACATACATACTATACTCTGGTTTAATTAGGGATCTGTTGAACACTTCAATCAATCAGCATAAATCAGTTGCATACATATATATGCTCTGCTACTACAAATTATAACAGGATTTAACTGAACTATTGTTTTACTACAATTTTGCTTGGAAAATCCTTGTTGATTTCCAGTGGCAAAAGCTTAATAATTACAAAGAGGAGAGAAACAAAAAGGACTTGAACTTCAATCAGTCTGAAAATATGACTGGCATAATACACAATGATCACACTGGAGGATTACAATATCAACAATTAAAACGCGGGTTGGGGGGTTAACAGTTTTTCGGCATTTCGAATTCCCATTCTTCATGCCTCAAATTGCTAGTAGTAAGTAATATATCACACACCAAGATTGGCTACTACAGTAGTAATACTTGAGAAAGATTCAAGTTTTGGCAACAAGATGAACTACAACTGTACCGGGCTGCTCAGGCTCTGCAAGCAAGGGGATGGATCAGCACCGCCATGCCGACACCGACACCAGCTCCGACCGCTGCCACCAGAGCGCCAGCGCCGCCTGCTGCTTCTCGACGTGGAAGCCATGGTTGGCCGTGCGCCGGAGCAGGCACTCGGCCTGCGCCTCCGCGGCATTGCTGAGCTGCAGCGGCGTGAGCCCGGCCGACGCGAACGTGGACCGCCACGGGGGCAGCTTCTCGCCGCCGGTGACCAGGCGCTCCGCCCTCGGCCGCAGGATGAACTGCTCCACCTTGGCCGCCACGTCCAGCGACGCGCCGGGCGTGTCGAGCGACTCGACGAGCGCGGCGCAGGAGCGGAGCACGTTCAGCGCGTGGCTCGGGAGCGGCAGGTCCGCGCGGTCGCAGCCGTGGTCCACGCACACCACGATGGCGGGCCGGAGCTGCTTCACGACGCGGAGGGACGCCGGTGTCGGCCCGGAGGTTTCCGTGCCGACCGTGATGTGCACGGCGACGGCCTCGTCGGGCGCCGCGGACAGGCCCGGCGGCGGCGAGGGGCTGAAGGGGTCGAAGGCGACGGCGGCGAACTCGAACGGGATGCCCAGCTCGGCGGCGAAGCGCGCCAGGCTCTCCTGCGTGAGGTGGAGCTCCAGCGGGTGCCTCGACCCCGGCGACACCAATGCCGTGACCTTCAGGGCCGGCGGCGGCGTCGACGGCGCGGCCGTGCGGCGCCAGTGGTGCGCGAGCTCCTGCATGAGCGGCGGCCAGTGGCCCCCGAAGCCGACGTCCAAGTCCACGACGTGCACGCGGCGCGCGCCGGCGCCCAGCGCGTCGAGGAAGGCCTGCGTGGCCGTGAACCCCGCGAACTGGACGGTGGGCGACGCGTCCGCCAGGGCCTTGTGCGCGGCGAGCTTGAGCGCGACGTCGAGCGGCGAGAGGACGGAGCTTCCGCCTGCGGGCGTCGGAGGGAGGAGGCGCTGCAGGAGCGCGTCCCGGAGCAGCGCGGCGGCGCGGAGCAAGGGAGGGTGCCCCGGCGGGGCGGGCGGCGAGGGGAGCCGGTGATTGAGCCGCGCCAATATCTCGCGCGCGCCAGCGGGGTCCCCGGCGTCGGCGCGCCGCGCCGCCTCGAGCAGCTCGTCCACCGCCGCCTGGGGCTCGAGATCTCCATCTCCTCCCCCGACGGCGCGCGCTGTTGCGGTGGAGACGGGGAAATGGACCTGCCCCTGCTGCGGATGCTGCGGGACGGAGAGCTGCGGCGGGAGCTGCGGGAGCGAGAAGGCGTGCTCCTCCGCCTCCTCCCGGCGCTCGTCAAACGGCGGCGGGTGGAGAGGGGGCGGGGGCAGGAGGGAGGGGTCGAAGGGGGCGGGGCCCTTGAAGCCGAAGGCGTCGCCGTCGCCGTCCGCGTACCCCGCGTCCATGATCCAGCGGAGGAAGGAGCTGTCCTCCCGGGTGCCGTGCGCGGCGGCGGCCATGGCGTCGTCGCAGCCGCCGGAGGAGAGCAGCACGGCGTCCCAGTCCTCGGCGCTGATGGGCGGCGGCTCGGACGAGTGCGCGGAGGAGGAGGTGGGCGGGCTCGGGCTCCGGTTGTACAGCACCGACGTCGGCTCCGGCGACTTGCGCTTCGAGTTGGCCGCCGCGCCGCCGCCCAGGCCGCTGCAGGAGGAGGAGGACATGGTGGTGATCATAAGTGGAGACGGGAGGAGGTGTGCGTGTATGTGCGTGCGGTGGTGTGGCGTTGCGTGTGCGCGTGTATGCTTATGCGGTGCCTTTTCTTTCTTGGCCACCATTTGTTTTTGTGTCGAATGCTCTTTTATGTCCTCCTCCTTGGCACCATCACCATGGATGATGGGTGGATGGAGCTCAGCTCGGGTCGGGTCGGCTGGAGATGGGGACCTCGGGCTAGTGACTGAGTGAGAGTGAGGAGTGAAATCTGAAATGAATGGGCCGATGAATGCCCTCTTGGAAGGGGAAGGAGAGAAAAGGCTTTTCTTTCTTCTTCTTTTTTGGTTTCTTTTTCCTCCAAGAGAGTGGTGATTGTGCATGGTTGCAACACAACTTGCAACTCAGGTAGTAGCCTTTGCAGCTTGCACCGGCGAATTCACTTTTCTTTCTTCTTTGAGAGGTAGCCAAGTTCTCCCCTCCTCCGATGGTCTCGTCGGCCGGAATGGGAGTGGGAGGGGAGCCCGGGTCTTCCCTGTATATAGTTGTAGTAGACAAGTAGTTGGAGGTGCCTCTATGGCGACTGGCGATATGTCGACGGGGAGAAGGGTTCCAGTGCAAGCGAGTTACGGTCGGATCTAGATGTCAATGACTATTTTGGCCTCGGTAAGCTCACAGGGCTTCCTATATCTGGAGCTTGGTTCACCTCCTCCTCATATCTCTCATAGTCATCATGGTGGGGGAAGGGAAAGGGCTGGATCGAACGCCGGACGTACTAGTCCAATTCAACAACCCCATGTTCTAAAGAGTGGCGATTCTACTATAGGGGCTTCAATAGCCTTAATATAAGCCTACCCTCCGAAAATCCTATTTCAGCTAAATATACCACATGACCACTATATTGAGGTATTTTACATGCAACAATTATAATGTATTTGTTAATTAGGCTTAGGAACTTGATGTTTTAAGCCTATCCTCCACTGCCATGCTAGATTCACAGCTAGTTCTAGAGCTACGATGCTTACTAGAGTGCACTCTCTATTTTTTTCTTCCAAAACACAGTACATAACTAACACATACACCTCTATGAATCTGCATGCATGCATGCCTGACCCCTATGAACACCTTCCATAAAATGGACCGGCGGGTATCGAGATTGACAAAGTCCGCCTCACTGCCGACCGATGGGCACATCACTAACCACTTATTGAAGAATAAAGCCGTTAAATCTTATGCCCTCTGCCTTTAGAAATGACGGGATAGCAACTTAGTTTCATGATCCGGGGTGCTGTTTGCATAATTTTTGGAGCGGTTGTAATTTTGCTTTTGTAGACGGCTCCTTTCGTAAGATGTTTTATTTGACGTGATCATGTGAGTCTAGGTCCTTCGAGGTCCTTCCCCGGTCCCAAAAAAGAAATGTTGCACCGGTCCGGCAGTGTCACGTACAAATTGTGCAGGCCATTACAGTTAGCTTTGTGTAGTACTCAGTCCTTGCTTCCCACGTACTACCTGCAAATGGTCACTTTCGTTGTGTGTTTTGCCACGGGAGCGGAACCCGCTTGTTTGCGGGCACCACGCCAACGCCGTGCATTTTATTTCTGGATCACGTCCGCTGCCCTCTACTGGATCCAACAAGCGTCACATCTTCGGTTTTTGCACACGTTTGTTTTGCGGTGTGTATGTATTTCTATGACGTCGGGTTTTAAAGAAAAATCAAAAATCGAAAGCATTCTTGTCCCCTTCCTTTTTCTTTTGCAGCCAAAGACAAGGGGAAAATCCTACTGGTACATGGGATTTGAAGCTGGTCAATATATGTGGCCGGTCAGTGTGTGCCCACACAAAGTGTGAATTGATAACCAATCAAAAGCAAGAACAACCAAGCTAGCTTTTTTTTTTTCCTTTACGTGGAAAAAAATGAAGGTCTTTTTTACTTGGTCCCTGTACTTTGACGGCGTTGTTGGGTTAGAAATCTTTTGAATCAAAAGAGCCTTAAGGGTTCTCGGCGCTAGAATCCTGCTCCAAATAACACATCCAAATGTCGTTTCATCCACTTGTGCCGATAACACCTAGTAAGCTTGTCAAGAATGTATAGGGATGCCGATACATTCATCGCCGCCGCCCATCAACACCCCCATCCAAGGATATAGTGTATTTTTTAAGATGTTCGATTTGGTAGAAAACAAAACCCTTTCGTGCTGAGAAGTCTCTCACAAAAGGAATTTCTAAAGATTCTTAGACTACAATCTCGATATGGATTTGTTCAAATCAAAGATATTATTGCATCATGCTAATGATAGGTCGAGCGCCGTCCTTCAAAGGAAAAGGTAGATAACCAAGTCGGGAGAGGGAGGGGGCATGTACATACATGTTTCGTTTCCTTTTTCTTTTGTTGTGGCTAAAGACAAACCAAAAATGTTACTACTACTAATAAGAGCACATGATATCCATTAGAGTCACAGCTTGGCCAATATATGACTCCCATCAGGTCAAAACAAAAATATTCACCCTCGTGGTCAATGTGTTGAGGCGACGGCATGGCCACGACCCACGACGCACGAGGCACGAGCCATGCATGCATGGTGATGCGATGTGCTGTACTGCCATGGCTATGGGGGCTATGGCAGCAAAAATCTGCACTGGTAAATAAGGAAAGGAAGGAAAACTGAGCCTACGGGCGGCTGGCATGTGGGCCGTCCTGCCGGTGATAAGACGGGCTGCTTTTCCTCGCAGGCTCGCCAAACGAGGCCGCCGCGCTGTCGCTCGTTGGTTTGCCACCGCCGCCGGCCGGCGAGACAGGTAGTAGCAGTACACCCTCAGAATATTTTGGAGATTTCTTTTTAAATGTTTGGGGTTTGGGGGTTTGGGCGTACGTGTCCACTGTCAAATCAACCTCCATCCCCTCAGGTCTTAGCTCAGCTTGCAACATGTTCGTTTCTTTTCTCCTCATCATAAAAAAATTTAGCAGTACTATTTGTTTACACATGCAGTAGAGTAGCCATCAACATCACCCGTGTAAACAATGACAGCTCTGTTATTAGTACTATTTTAATTTTGTATGACAACGATGATGCCAAAATCTTGAGTTAACGGCGCTGTTTAAAAACTGCACTGCACACCCTCTATAGATGGCATGAGGTTTACTTTAAGTCGCCTCTCCCTCTCTCTACTGTACGTAAGCATTTATTATGGAGATCTACTAGCTGGAATGTTTACACATATGGGATTTCTATTAGTGGGAGCCTGGGAGGATGAAGTAATGGTACCGACATTTGCATTACTCGAGTACAATACCTGCTCTGTGTTATTTTGCAGCCTCTCTCTCTCTTGTCAAGCTATCTGTGTATTAAAAAATTTCCAGCTTTGAGTTATAAGATGATACAGAGAAGTTGATATCTTCATATAACATTATTAACGAAGTTATATACCATCTCAGATTTGCCACCGCATGAGGCAATTGGGATGCCTTCTATTTTCCCTACTATGACCGAGGTAATTTACTAAAATGGGAAATAAATATAAAGTACTGACAGATAAAACATAAAGCATGACCAATGTGCATGTGTTTCTTCGATTGTCTCTGTTGTGTAAAAGAAAATTTTAATGGCCTGTAGGAAAATATTGCAAGGTGGGTGAAGAAGGAAGGAGACAAAGTTTCACCTAGTGAAGTTCTTTGCAAAGTGAGCTTCGTCCAATACGTAGAGCTGGTTAGCTAGCCAGCCAAAGTAGAATCATCAAGCGAGAAGGCTAGCCGCCGCCTCCTCCTTCCTCCACAAAAAAGTTAGGGTTTCTATCTCCTGCCGCCGCTGCCGCAGGTCCGCCTCCTCTCAGGTGGCCCTAGGACCATGGGGGCACGGTGGATCTCGGCAAGGGCCGGCGGGAGGGCTCCGTTTTTAATCGTTTCTTTCAGTTTTGCTAGGGTTTGTGTCCTGCTCAGGAAGACGAGACGGCGGCGGCTTCCTGAAGATGGAATAAAGGTCTCTCCGCCTAGTCCCCGTTCCGGCGGCACGTCTAGCACCGTTGGTGGGCGTGTGGAGGTGTGTCTCCGGCGGATCTATCTTTGGTGGATTTGCTCAGATCTCGTCGTTGTTCGTCTACG